TTGTAAACTTTGCTTGTCAAGAAAGTTGTCCAGAAAATTATCGTTGTAATTGTTGGAGTGTAATGTGTTGTTGTCACTATCAAGAATCCTCTTAATTTATCATCTAGCATTGTTCCAAAATAAATTATGCATCTTATAATATGTATCACCCAAAATCCATCGAGAAATAAGCTAACTATGGCATACATAGGGAGATATTGTGTTGTCTCAAGACATATTTCCTTCTTTTAAATAATGTTATAAACTGCAACGAATGTACTAAGGATTGGGTGATTTGATCAAGATAAAAGTCGTTGGAAATCTTATTAGCTTTCCAACAAAATAGAAATCACTCAGGCCCGTTAGGAAACAAGCTAACTATGACATAAATAAGGAGTCAGTGTGAAGTCTCAAATCAGATCTCGTTTACTAGGAATTGAGTCATTTACTGCTACAATGAAAATCTCATAGCAGCAGTGTTGAGAAATTAAGGGCAAAGAAAAACAGTAATCGACACATAAATTAGGGGCAAAGAAAAATAGTAATCAACACAAAAAGAGAACAGAATACAGAATACAGAATTGAGGGATTTAGAGATAATCTCTAGAGTTACATACAAGCCAAATTTATAACCCTATAAAGCACATAAAAAGGAAAATTTTGGTACAATATGTAATTATCAAATTATCCATGTACCGCACCCCCAACCCACATAAGGAAACTCCCCGGATTTGGACAGAATCTTCTGCTCTGCTCCGCTACTAACTTAGCACTGTCCATTTATGGTATATGATCCATATCTAACAAATCTCCACCTTAGCGAATATTCAACCACTTAGGAGAAATACTTCATGGAGTTCCTTATATACCAGAAGTGTGTTCAAATCTCCACCTTAGCGAATATTCAGCCACTTAGGAGAAATACGTCATGGAGTTTCTTATATACCAGAAGTGTGTCGGGCCACCATGCTTCTCTAGCAACTGCAGACATTCAACAAGTTCAAGCAATGTAAGAACTTGTTGATAGTAACTGGCTTGGTCAACATATTAGTTGCATTTTCATCGGTATGAACCTTCTGCAACAGTATCTCACCAAAAGCAATCAATTCTCTGATCTTGTGATACCTGACATCAATGTGCTTGGTTCTCGCGTGGCACACCTTGTACTTAGCCAGATAAATAGCACTTTAACTTCTGTTTCATACACAAAAAAGCCATAAAGTTTCTTTTGCAGCTTCAGCTACTGTCATGTACTCAGCTTCAGCTGTAGATAATGCCACAATAGACTGAATTGTTGATTTCCGACATATAGGTCCTCCACCAAGAGTAAACACATACCCAGTTGTAGACCTTCTGCCATCTAAATCACACGCATAGTCTGAATCAACATACTCCACAACTGAAAGATCATTCTGCTGACTGCCAAAAATAATTCCATGTCCTACAGTACCCTTCAAATACCCGAAAATCCACTTGACTACTTCCCAATGTCACCTTCCAGGTTTAGTCATGTATTTGCAAACTTGACTAACATGAGCGAAATCAGGACGAGTACATATCATTGCATACATCAAGCAGCCAACTGCACTGACATATGGATCCTTTGCCATGTCGTCCATTTCTGTATCTTTCTTTGGACATTGTTCTGAAGAAAGCTTAAAATGATTTGCCAAAGGAGTGCTCACAGGCTTTGCTTTGCTCATCTCAAACCTTTCCAGTACTTTCTCAACATAACCTTGTTGAGATAAATATAATCATCTTGAGCCTCTACCTTGATGAATCTCTATTCCAAGAATCTTCTTCGTAGGACCCAAGTCTTTCATGTCAAATTCTTAGCTCAATAAAGCTTTCAAACCACGGACATCATTCATATTCTTTGAAGCAATCAGTATATCATCAACATACAGTAACAGAAAAATAATAGAACCATCATCAAGGCTCTTCACATAAACACAATAATCATACTCACATCGCCTGTAGCCAATCTAAACCATGTAGGAGTCAAACCTCTTGTACTATTGTCTTGGAGACTGTTTCAACCCATACAACAATTTCTTTAATCTGCAAACCAGATGCTCCTTTCCAGGTCAAGTGAACCCTTCTGGCTGCTGCATGTAAATCTGCTCCTCCAGATCACCATACAAGAAAATAGTTTTAACATCCATTTGCTTTAAATGCAAATCCCAAATGGCTACTAATGCAAGCACTGCCCTGATTGAAGTATGTCTAACCATAAGAGAAAAGATTGCATCATAATCTATCCCCTTCTGTTATGAAAATCCCTTTATCTGTTATGAAATCCCCTTTATACCCACCCGAGCCTTGAAATTTTCCCCTTCTTTTTCTGATATTGATGGTTTCCTTTTGTAGAGTCATTTGCACCCACTAGTCTTTTTTCCCTTTGGAAGCTGAACTAGCTCCCATGTGCAATTTTTCTACAAAGACTCCATCTCCTCAACCATTACACCCATCCATTTCTCTTTCTCTTGGCTAGTGATAGCTCCTTGAAAAGTGGCTGGATCACGCTGTTGATGAGAAGTGCACATGAGACTAAGTCTTCATAACCTAATCTGCTAGGAGGCCTTACATTAGTGTGTCTCTGTCTATCTCTGGCTAGATTATAATTCTGTAGATCATCTGGAATAGAATCACCAGGTATTGGATTTGAACTTTCACCTCTCTCAAAAGCTACTGGCTGCTGTTCTAAATCCATCTGCACTGCATCTGAAAATCCATACTTGTCTTGATTCTGCTGTAACATAAACTGCTCATAAAAAAATTGCATTTCTGCTGATCACCATCTTCTTTGCAATCAGATCTTGTATCATTTCACACCTTTTTTGTAGCCCAGAAAGATGCATTTCTTGGATTTTGCATCAAGTTTGGTTCTTTCATCTCCAGGTACATGCACATAAGCATGACATCAAAAAATCCGTAAATGATCAAATTTAACTGGATTACCTGTTTATACCTCTTCTGCGACCTTGTCACTCAATGATGCTCGAGGCGATCTATTGATGATATAGCATGTCATATTCACAACCTCTGTCCAGAAACTCTTAGGAAGCCCTGCATTCAATTTCAAGCACCTTGCCCTTTCAGTTAAGGACCAATTCATCCTTTCTGCCACATCATTTTTCTGTGGTGTCTTATGCACCAAAAAAAGCCTTTAAATCCCATATTCCTCACATAACTTCTGAAACTACGAATTTGTGTATTTTGTGTCATTATCAGACCTCAAATACTTGATCTTTCTGCCAATTTAGTTCTCCACCTCAGCTTTCCACAGCTTAAATTTAGAGAAGACTTTGGATTTTTGTTTTAAGAAATACACCCAAACTTTCCTGGAGAAATCATCAATAAAGGTAACGAAATACTGAGATCCTCTCAATGACAACTCCCTAGTAGGGCTTTTAATGACCAGAAGAAAATATGTTGAGATTTTCATACCTATTTTATTTTAATTTTGATCATATTGCACTTTAAAGAAAGGTAATTTTGATGTTTTGTTGCAGGAATGATGAATTAGGGTCATTGGAGCAAAAAGATGAAAAAAATAGCAAATTTGGAGCGAAAAGGGCCAAAATGTGCAGAATTGAACTAGGGAGTGAGATTTTCTCGAGCCTCCAGAATTAATTCATTAAGAAGATCTGCCAAAGGCACCCTCAAGGACGCCGACAGCAAGCTCGACGATTATGCCTAATCAGGCTTTGAATAAGGCCAATTTCTTAAGGGATGCTTAGGCAACTCTTGGAAAAGCTCATCCACAACTTTAAAAGACTATTTTGGCCGAAAATTAGAGAGAAGAGAGAGTTTTAGGTTCCATTAGTGTTTACTAGAGTGTAAAAATTGTGCAGAATTTGTTGAGATGTTGTAAGGCTGGAGGGAAAGTGAGAGATTTCTTCCTCCTTGCTGCTTCGAAGAGGAATTATTTGTGTTGTAAAGAAAGGAAGAGATTCATAGGAACTTCGAGGAGTTGTCTTGGGGAGAAATTAGAGATAAGTTATTTACTTGTTGTAGTTTGTATGACTTTGAATTTATATATGAATATCGAGTTTTGTTGTGCTTTCCCCATGAGATCTGAGTAGTTTTCTCTGTCTTTCTCCTTGTCTTGAGATTTGTGAAATGAT